AAATCCTACACAAAACAGGCTCTAGAGCAATGTGGATATCCTAACTGGGCCTTCCTGAAAGCAGAGAAGAAACCCAAACAGGACTCCAGTCAGCCATCAGGTGACAAGGAGGAACCCAGACCCAGACCAGTGGTCATTCCGTATGTTGAGGGAGTATCAGAGAAACTGAGACGTTTATTTTCTAAACATAACGTCCCAGTGGCTTTTAAACCCCAAAATACATTACGGCAAAAACTGGTTCATCCCAAAGATCCAGTCCCCCGGCACAAACAGAGTAATGTTGTGTATGCTGTTCAGTGTCAGGGGGGCTGTGATCAGTCTTACATCAGGGAAACTAAACAGCCACTGGCCAAAAGGATGGCCCAGCACAGAAGATCAACATCATCAGGCCAGGACTCTGCGGTCTACACTCATCTCCAGGCCAGCGGTCACTCTTTCAGGGATGAAGATGTTCACATCCTGGACAGAGAGGAACGATGGTTTGAGAGAGGAGTAAAGGAGGCCATCTTTGTGAAAAGAAATCGTCCATCGTTAAACAGGGGTGGAGGCCTCCGGGTACAACTGTCCCCCTCTTACAATGCTGTGATTGCTAGTATCACGCAGCCCTCTGTGAACAGTAAACAGCCATCAGTGTGCTAATGATCCATTGTTAGGCTGATGGTCCTTCTTGAGCATGTGATCAGCTGGTTTTGGTTGTCAGCAGCAAACTGGTTGATCCACTCTGAGAAGGTGCTATTTAAGAGACTGAGCTGAAAACAGCACCTCAGACTGAGGAAGTCTCTCGGATGAGAGACGAAACGTTTCTACACTTTTTTGTTGTTTTGCTTTGTTTTGTTTTTTTGGGTTTTTTTTTTTTTTTGAATGTCCAGAGGACCAGATTTAACTTTTTTAGATTTATTTTACCCACATGTAAAGTACAAAGATCACAGCCCTAGGCTATTTTAACTCCACCATGCAATCACAAACAATCCCCCCGAGTGTAAACTGGAAACCCTTCTTCAGAGCTCGGCCACATCTCCCAGGAGGAGTCACCACCATCGATGAATGGGAAGCCCTACTCTATCATGTGACCCAGCTCTCAACCAATAATATCTTGCCATCTTGTGTTCTATAATGTGTGGGTGCATGAATGTTGGGAGTTGTAGGCATGTAACTAAAACTACAATTTCTACCGGAAACAGAATCAGATCGTGTTTAAACACAATATACCTCTAAATAAAGAAACAGGATACATACATCTAGACATGTCATTAATTTAATATATTATCTGATAAAATTATATTTCAAACATGAGATAAGTTTTCATTGTTATTCTGATGATACACAGTTATATTTGTCCATGAAACCCAATGAGTTCAATCAGTTACTTTGACTACAAGCATGTTTTAAAGACATACAAACCTGGATGACCCTAAATTTTCTGCTTTTAAACTCAGGTTTTTGGACCTGAACATCTTAGGAATACATTTTTCAGTTTTTCCCTTTCTCTGGATGGCATTAATTTGGCCTCCAGTTCTAATTAAAAAAAAAAACTTGGTGTTATTTTTGATCAGGATATGTCTTTCAACACCCACATTAAAAATGTTACCAAAACTGCTTTCCTCCACCTGCGTAATATCACTATGGTCTTTTTATTTTTTTTTATTTTTTTTTTTTTTAGATGGCCTCCCTTCTCCCCTTACAGCCATCCTCTCCACACCATTATTATGAAATATTTATTCTAGTGACTATGTAGTGTATGTTTTTTTTTAATAGGATAGAAAGAAAGAAAAGACAAAGTAAGACTCCAAAATATAAGAAATATACACAAAGAGAGCACACGGCAAAACACCCGGCCACTGCCTGTTCACCTGCAAAGAACATGACAAAACACAGCAACAAAATACATATGTATAAAGAACTTAAAATATTCATGGCTTTGCAGTAAGTTTCCATAAATATATATACCCATACCTACGCCTATATACATACATACATACACATGAATATACAGTACATTCATATACATATCTATATATCTACATATAAAGCCTACATAAGCATCCCTGCTTCTATTTGTGTGTGGTTGTGAGCATGCATAAGTGTATAAGGCTTCTCTAATAGAATATTTAATAGTAACTGTGAAGCAGCAGAGACCCGACCCCCAAGACCAGAGGCAGACGAAAAAGGGGGGACCAGAGCCCAAGACCCCAGGAGGGACCCCGACCGCGGAGCCCCCAGGGCCACCCACACAGGACGAACCACTCACCCACCCCCCAGATCGGACCACAGGGGAGAACCGGAAGATCCCCACCAGCAACCACATACAGTGACCCCCCCGGGGCCAACAGCGACATCAAAATAAAAAAAAAACTTGGTGTTATTTTTGATCAGGATATGTCTTTCAACCCCCACATTAAAAATGTTACCAAAACTGCTTTCCTCCACCTGCGTAATATCACTAAGGTCTTGACCAAAAAAGATGCAGAAACCCTGCTCCATGCATTCATCACATCTAGTCTGGATTATTGCATTTGTTTAATATCTGGATGTCCAAATACTTCTTTAAAAAAGTCTTCAGTTGATCCAAAATGCTGCTGCCAGAGTCTTAACTGGAGTTAGAGAGATCATATCTCTCCTGTTTTAGTTTCTCTCCATTGGCTCCCTGTCAAATCCAGAACTGAATTCAAAATCTTACTTCTAACCTACAAAGCCCTCAACAACCTAGCTCCATCTTATATTACAGATAAAATTGTTCCATATTTTCCTAACAGAACACTTCGCTCTTAGACTGCAGGTTTACTTGTGGTTCCTAGAGTTTCCAAGAGCAGAATGGGAGGAAGATCTTTCAGTTATCAGGCTCCTCTCTTGTGGAACCAACTTCCAGTTTCAGTCCTTGTACTATGCTTAAATCTTTCCTTTTTGATAAATGCTATAGTTAGGGTTGCCTTGGGTTTCCTGAGCTATACCTTGATGTGCTGCTATAAGCTTAGACTGCTGGAGGACAAAATGGCCACATTTCTTCACTATGCTACCATCTTTACTTGGTATACTCTAACTTGTATTTCTACCTGTTTGAATTTGTAATTATTTCTATCCTTAACATGATTTTTGTCTTTCTTCCAATAGAAAGTACATCTGGACCTGTCATTCTGTCTTCATTTGTTTCTCCTTCCTGTTCTCTCAAACCCTAGCCAGTAGAAGCACATGGCCGCTGGTCCTGAGCCTGGTTCTGCCGGAGGTTTCTTCCTGTTAAAAGGGAGTTTTTCCTTTTCACTGTTGCCTTTGTGCTTGATCAGGATGGGAGACTGTGAAGAAGTGAAGATTCATTGCAATCTGCTGGCTTCCTTAGCTAGAGAACTTTACTAATTGACTATTTTAATGTATCTGAATGTTTTGTGCAGTGCTCTGAGACAGCTCCTGCTGTGACTTGGCACCATATAAATAAACAGAATTATAATAGATAGATAAATGGATGGATGGATGGATGGATGGATGAATGGATGAACTGAATAGAATTGATTGTAATAAAAAGTGGAAAAACAGCAGTCCAAAGAACATTTTTTAAATCACTTATTTACATAATGTAGTTTTATTTTTTAAATAACTTACTTCTTTCTATTCTTCTCTTCCCTTCTACATCTGCCTTTAATAGTCTAAAGAAATTCACTACATTGAGATGAAGCAATGTTTTCCTTGATTTGTAATGGAACATATTGGGGTGAAGAATGATTCACAGCTTCTTCTACAATAGTTTGCGTAGAAAATGTGGTAGCCTTAGCAAAAACTGTAAGGTACGTCTGCGTCTCTTTCCTCCTCCTCTGTTTCCTACACAGATTCATAAAATATAAAAGAGGGGCCAACACATATGCACTTAATCACACGTGGGAATCTTTCTCATGTGGTTTGTGGAGACACATGCAAAGGCATCACTTCATGGGAAAGCACTGTGGTGGATTTTATGAAATGATGGTGGATTCAATAACTAAACGACAACTCTGTTTTGTGATGATTTATTGAATGAAAAAAAACAAACAAAATCTAAAACAAAAGCACAAAATAATGAAATCATTTTGATGCCATATAACAGGTTGCAGGTCCAACAGAACTTGGTGTTATGTAGGAAATGTGACCCAGCCCAAACAAACAATGGGGTTTAAATAACCTTGGGACTTGAGA